CATTACAGCATAGTTTTTTCTTTTTGTTTCCAAGACTAGAAAAGTGTCTGGTCACTAAGAGCTGAGGTAAGTAGTTTGATAATTTTCTGCATGGCTACCATGATTTCAGTTGTTTCAATTATATTTGTTCAGGTGGGAAATAATTTCACCTAATTAAGAAGGGATTAATTTTCCTTTAAATCACCTGTCCAACAAGGTAAACCTAAGCCCACTGGTAAAGACCTGTACATGTTAAACTACACAGCTGTGTGATGAAAATGGCTTAGCAGCCCTGCCTGCAGCACCACAGCTGCAAAAGTGCTTAGCCTTGATGAATGTGTCAGCGGACACACAAGGGAAATTTCTACAACTCTTTTAAAAGAAGGGACACAATTTTTATGAATGTATATCTGAAAAGATATCCAAAAAGATTTGAACACATTTAACGCCCTAGTTTGCAAGACCTCAGAACTTGTTTCCCACTACAAATGCAGCAACAAAGGCTCTTTTTTGAGGTGTTCTGTTACTGCCCTGGGTAGTAGCAGCACGGATGCTACATTAACGTGATAATGATGTATGAGCAAAATTGTTACACCAGTTTCATAGCTACTGATCAACATGGTATGATCACTAGTGTAACCATACCCAAACAGAATTCCCGTCACATTTAACATGAAATACCTCATTTAGTCTATTTAATGTGGAAGAATTTTAAGTTTAGAAAACACTTAACATGAAAGATATAATTGGTTTATAAATGATTAAAGTTTTTTTCAGCATATCCTAAATTTGCATGTAGTGAATAATATGCTTTCGTAAACTTTTCAGTTATTATAATAGTTTAATAGTTTAAGTTTTACGCTTATGTCATAAATATATACATTGTGTATGTCTGTGTACATGTTTGTATAACTTTCTAATTGCTGGCTTATTTTAATGTGCTCAGGTTTTATTATGTATGCATCTGCCTACTGTGAAAATCTACACAACACATCTACCCACATAAATAAGAACAGCGACCTCTCCATATATAAAAATATATATGCAAAAATTCTTAGGCCTGAAAAGTTAACATTCAAAGGTGCCAGAGTGGGAGTCTTCAGATTGGAATCTGTCAAGTACAGCCTGCCAGGAGCAAGCACACAACCCACCACAGGCTCAGGGTCTGTTATTTGGGATCCCATGTGTGAACACGTGCTGTGCACACCACTCTCAGGGAGACCAGAAACCCTGCTGCTGTTGCTGGGTCACCAGGTACGGGTGTGTTTCTCCATCAGCTGTCGTGGCTGCACAGGGAAAAGGTTTCTTTCCTTCCCTACAACTTGACTGATTAATGATGAACACAATCATTGTTAGGATCTGTGATGGGAAGACTGGGGAGAATTTGACATTGAGCAGTCCTGTTGACAGTGTAAGCAATTGCTGCTGCCTTCACATCTCCTGTTCTGTTGTTGTTGAGGAGTTCTGTGTTTTGTCTGAACTGCCTCTGAAACAGCCATCTGGGGAGCCCTGCTCCAGACCTCTTAATTGAATATTTGCAACTGTTTCTCACAAATTCATTTGCTCTTTATTCTTGTTTTCAGAAGTTCCCAAAATGTTGGAGCTAATTTTTTTTTTTTTTTTTTTTTTTTCCAAAACGTCATTTCTAGGGCAGAGCTTTGTATGGAATATTTCAGATAGGTTGACTAAAAATTACCAAATCTGGGAAAAGTTTAAAACAGTGTTACAAATAATTTGCCATGTACTCTTAAAAAAAAGACAATACTGCCACCCCTATTTTTAAAATCCCCAGTAGGTATAAGCACTGCTTAAATATGCTGTAAAATATAGCCCAGAAACATGGTCAGTTTAATTAGAGAGAATGTTGCTGTATGAAAATACTCTAAAATGTCGTTTATACGTTTTAGACAACACTAAAAGCAGACTTTGATTTATCCAGAACAGGTGATTTTTTTTGAAAGGATGGATTCAAGTTACTAATGAGTATTTTCCTCATTTCCTAGTGCCTTTTGGAAATTCCTACCAGAAAGTCTAGAGAATAAACTGAAAACGAAACAAAACAAAAAAACAACGTAGATAAGGTGTCTAAAAATGTGGCAGAGCTAAACTGTTGGTAGACTTGTAGTCAACCTGTGGACTTGAAGGAGTTCATAAGTTGTTTTGAATGATTTAAGTGGTTTATGGAATCCCTTTTAGATGTAGACCTCCCACACCCACAACCCCCACAAACCACTAAATAGACATTTAAAGAAATTTACCGTTAAAATCTTCATGAAGACAAATGTAATGCAAAATCCAATAGAACCACATTTCAGAGTATTTTAGTTAAAGAAACAGCAGAAACCTAATATTTGGCCTCAGAGAAAGTCTTAAGGATGTTTCCCTCTACTTCTGAACGTAGCTAAAATATATATAGATATATATTTTATATTTTTTTCCTGCTGATCCATATCTGAGTTAAGATAGAATAGTCTGGTCTCTGGGGCTGCTAATCTGACTTCTTTCATGGGCATTAGATTCCTATTAAAGAAAAAAGTACAACTTTGAGATGAGCTCTCTTGAGCTCCTATCTAAACTACTGAGAAAACCTGAGCAAAGGGATGCTCTTTTGTACTGCTCTTTCACGTCTGAAAGCATTTCTGCTTTAATTCATTCTCTTTACTTCTGCTGTGCTGAGTATTATTATAGTCTAGTGAGTTCCTGAAAGTGGGAAATGCCAAAGAAACAGGTGTCAGACTTCAAAAGAAGCATTTGTCAAGACTTAATGTTCTGAAGCTAAAGGTGACAGCTCAACCTAAATAAGCTCTTCTCAACAGGATTTAAGTTTCCTTAATAAAAAAGTAATAATCAAAAGTAAAGTGCTAATCCAATGGCCTAGAGAGTGGAAGTTTTTTAAAAATGTGCATCATTTGACATGATATCTTGATTTAAAGACTATTTGTAGTATAGTGCTCAAAGTCCAAGGTTGTTTATATTCCCCTGACAAGACAATTTATAACCTATAGAGGCACAAGTTTGCAGCATGAAGCTGTCTGCAGGCGTATTCATGGGGCTGGTTGGCCTTTGATTGTCTTGTGGTAAGGGAAGAAGGAGAACACTATAGAAAGAGCAAGAAATATGTAGGAAACAGTCCTAACATAAGAAAAAGTATTTTCTTTGTGTTCCTTCTGCCATACGCCAAAGAAAAAATAAGGTAATTGCTCTTAACAGGAAACTTACCAAGGAACAGAGGAAAAAGAAAAGCTATATGAGCCATGTATATATACATCCTACATGCTGTTTTTCTTGTCATGTCTGTCTATACTATGTGCATAAATACTGTCCAGGTTGGCAGTTACATCTATCTGTTTCAATATGCATAAGCACTAAGACTATTAAATTAGACTTAAGAAACATAAGTAGTGTAGTATATGGAATAGACACTATTCCATATAGCTGTTAGTGGATTAAAACCACTGCTTTCAATTTTGATAGTATATTAAGTGGTGCCTACTTTGCTGTGTTTTGAAGTCCAGTCACAGAAAGTAGAGCTATTCAATAGCAGTATATATTAGTGGTATCAGAATACAGCCCTTTTCATCTTTGAGTCATTCTCCACATTCATTGATCAAAATAGATACCGAGCATCTTTGCTGAAAAGCAGTATTTTCTCCTTGTCTCTTCCCAATGAGTCACATGAGCAGTTAGATCTATGAATGGGAAGTCCAAGAGCAGCTGCATTCTCCTCCATTCTTTTTTTCTCAAGTCTTTTTTGTTTAACAAGCCATTGACAGTATCTACATTTGTTAGCATTTATTTGTTAGTTACCCTTCACCAGTAGCTCTGTAGCATATTTAGCTGCTTATTTGGATGCTTTTACAAAGGGGACAGTTACAACCTATCTGGTTGTGTTACCAGTCTTACCTGGGGTTTTGGCATATTGTTCTTTGTGTGTGCTTCTGTATAAATCATAGTGATGTCTATTTCTGCTGTTATTCAAACCCACTGTTACCAAATCTTTTATCATATTGCTGTGTTTGTTTTGGGTTTAATTTTGAAGGATGTATCTGCCTGTATTTGCATGTAATGCTGTTAGTAATTTCAATTAATATAGTATTAAGTAGGATTTGTTTCTATCTCAGAAGAGCATTTTTGTCCAGTCTTGCACATAAGGGAGTTGGAGCCAAGGCTTAAGGTGTTGCTGCAGCCAAAGCTGTTTTGCAAGACTGGTCAGTCCACCTGTAGCTTGTACCAAAGGCAGCGTTAGTGGCTGGGGTGCTCAGGAGATATCACTGCTGTTCTCCTCTTTGTGATGCAGGGAGTGTGGCAGTTGTAGCTCCCAGCTTTTAACAAGCTCTGTAGAGACAGAAAGAGGCTTGGACATTTGAAAACTGCTTTTCACTAGTATTAGTTGATGTCGAGTTTTATATTAGGCAACATTATGTTTTATATCACTTCCCACAAACCTTGCTTTGTCTGTTGAGGAATCCTCTAATTAAAAGGCAGTGAGTCTGATGAGAACAGTCAGATGAAACATGCTCACAGTGTGCATTTTCCCGGTGTACTTGGATTTATCCATCAAACAAATGACTATAATGATTCCTTATCACCAGTAATCAGATATATGTACTTGGTGCTCTCTGAAGTTTGTGTGGTTATCAGTATGACATATTTTTTTAAGGAAAAATGAAATCTGGTCCTTATAGTACTGCTAAGCACTATCTGGTCTGGCCATCAATGACACTGCAGTCCAAAAGCATAGCTGTACATACAGGTATACTCACAGATATTTATAAGATTATTTGTGGCCTTTGGGGATGCATATAATTAGTCTTTTGGCTGGATCAGGTTTACAAGCAATGAAGGAATAGTGAGACTAGATGTATTTGTGTAACAGAATGCCACATTCAGGAGATTTTAAAAATCAGGCCTCAAAGACACGGGAATAGGGAGCTGCAGATAATTATCATTCTAATGAAGTGAGGCAAAGCAAAAAAAAAAAAGAGTATTCATGTGATGTGCTTGAATGTTTTCTTTTCCAGAACAGCACACTTCCATCTTCTGTCTGTTCAGCATTTGCCTATGATGGATGGTGTGATTCAAAGTCTTCCATAAATTCTGGTGGCAAAGCACCAGACACAATAAAAATTGCTGAATTTTACTGATCTTCACCCTGGAATGGCTCCTTTTCAGTTCTTTTCTCATGTTAGCACTTCAGACTTGTACACACCTTAACAGAGGTAAGTGGTTTCTATCAGTATGAGCAAAGAATACGGTTTTCTGCAAGTAATGTATTGATTCATTACAGTGTTCATTTTCTGTGTCTTCTGTAATGAACATATCTTCAGAAGATTTTGCTCACGTCAGAACATCTGTAATATTGCTCTAATTTACTTTTCATTTCCCAGTACCTTGTTAAAACAGTTTAAAATGGCAGAACAAAATGCATGCGGCAGTCAATGAAAATCACAGATACCTGTGCTACATGCAGACTTGAAAAGCTGTTAAGAAGGAAAGTGCAGTGAAATGTCCCACTGCACATTTAACTATTAAAAATTCGTAGATTCCATTTTTGGGATTAAAAACAAGTTAAGATTTGCTCTTGATACTGTAGCAGTAAATGTTGATGCTGTGAGCCAGAAAGTAGAGTAGAAGATGGGCTTTCTGGTTTTAGTTGTTGTTTGTTTTTAAATATTACTAATGTGCCAAGAGGGTTGCTTTTGCCTCTTATATTGACAAACTAATGCAGTTTTGTTCAAGATCTTTTTTTTTACTTGTCAGGGAATCAGTTAATATACAGAATATTCAACTCTTTATATATTATTTGTTTCTTGCTCATCTTTGTGTTGTTGAAAGTCTAAGACTGTAAAACTGTTTTATTTTCAAACACATAAGATAAACTCTGTATTGCCCAAAGGGAGCTACCTACATACTTCAAAAAAAAAAATAAAATAGCAAATTAGCCACCTGAAAGGTAGAATGGAGTAAAGATGTAAAGGAGGGAGAAAGATCAAAGCTTGAAATAGTGACTGCAGAAATTTAAGGATCTTCAAGGTCCAGTACATTGACTGGAGCCCAAAAGTTTCCTGTAGCCTACAGCAATCTGAGCCTCTTAACTGCAGTATGCAAATCCTGCTCACATCCCGAGTCAGAGTACGCCTACCTTTGAAGGGCTTTCATCTCTCATCTACAAATGATTGTAATTGTCTAAGAAAGATGAGGTGTGTTCGCATTACCTAGTTAAAGCTTAAGACAGACTGTTGGTACTGAAATGATGGAGTCTCTAAAATTCAGTGTGTATATAGCTCAGTCTTTCTCATTGCTAGTGCTTTCCAAATAAATAGGCAGCAACTTAGATATCACTATTGGTGCAAGATTTTGTTTGTCTGCAGCTTCTGATCTCTGGGATAATTTTTCCTTTGTAACTCCATTTTGATATTTTACAAATTCTTTTTATAGTTCTTACACCAAAACAACCCATTTGTTTTGTTTGTCTTTCTAGGCCCTTCTTTTTTTTTTTTTTTTGCTGTTGAAATTATTCATTAATGCACTTGGCTTTCTAAATTTATTGCAAAAAGCTTTAGATTTATATATATGATTACCTTGGTATACGTATATCTGTTTAACTTCTGCCTTCAGTATTTCACAGACCTGTAAGTGTGACTGAAATCTGACTTCCTGGGTCATGCTCAGTGTGGACAGAGTGCTTGAAATGTTATCAGGAAATTCCAGAGAAAGGATTAGCAATTGTGTACAAATGGTGATTTTTAGATGTTTATGTCAAATTGGAATGTCTTCTACTGAGGACAAATTCAGGAATCCTTTTCATTGCATTACAATTTATCCTCTCAAATTTCCAATTCTGCTTCAAAACAACGGTCAAGGAAAAACCTTGCATATGTACTGAGAGAAGTATTATCAGTGCAGTGTTATTTTCTGTCTTCATTGCTGGAAACATATCAATCCAGACTTTCCAAAAACATGGGAGAGTTTGGTGTTAGAATTGTCTTTCACAGATAATTAATATTTAACTACTATAATGAATTAAAAATAGGCTACACTAGTAAACAGACAGCCTTAATCATAGAGGTCTGTCAGATCCACTTGTAATACTTGATAAAATCAATACATTTAAACATAAGGAAAGCAGAAGTTATAAACATAGAATTACAGTGAAATATTTCAATGCATAATTGCTACACTATAAATGAACAATAGTATCTCGTCTACTTTTTAATACAAGTCAGTAACAGAAGTTGCGTTCTCTGGGCTTGCAGGATTGGAAATTGGACATCAATTATGGATGTTTTCTACTAACCTGTATGTTAAATGATCAAGAATTATAAAAGTTTCGTTCAATAGTCTCTTCGGCATATATATTTTTTAAGGAGAACTATATGAATATTCAAAAGTGGTTGTTTCTTGTGTTTCAAAGAATAAAAGAAGAATAGTTGCTCTGCTACGTATGCATAAAGCATTCCTCCCAAGGTCAGAGGGAGAGGTCGGAGCCAAAATGAAATTCACTCCTGGGAGTGGTTTGCCACATGATCTTTTCTATGTTTTGAAAGGTCAGAGTCAATATGGGACAAATCTAATAAACAGATCCCAGTAGTATTATATTCAATTTCTGAGGAAACATTCGAGAATGGTAGAATTGGGATTTTGCTACACTGAAATGCCAATTGTTTTGAGATGTTTTGTCTTATAATTATGAATATGGCTCAGTGCCAAGTGAATCCTTGATTGCTTTTGTCCCTTTCCAAAGGGGAAAAAAAAAAAGTGTTGCATATAATGCCTAAAAACTGATATTAGAAAGTGTTCAGAGTGCTGGTTAGATTAGTTTTCTTCTTTTCTATATTGTGTTTGGCGAAAGAGTGTATGTCACCAATAAGAAGCATTACGTGAAGTTAACCACCTGCTGTACAATCAGCAGTTCAAACTAGTTTGCACCTTTTGAGAAACATTTGATAGGTATTTCTGCTGTCTGCAAAAAATAGCCTTATAATAATCTGAGAAATCCCTGGTCCTTTCTGGGGTATTTTCTTATCAAAATAACATAAAAAACAGCAAAAAGAGGAACTGAGGTATCATACAGGCAGTATCCTATCATACTAGGAAATATCCATCAAAGTCTTTCATTTTCAAAATGATTTTAAATATTTTTTTGTTGTTTATTTGTATTCTTGTATACAATCTCTTTAAGAAAGACAATTAGAATCCTTATACTTTCTCAAAGAGATCTTACACAAGAATAAAACTAAATGTAACTAAATGTAAAATTAAGGAGATGGCAGTGAATCATACTGTTCCCAGAAATTAAAAAAATCACAGTCATTGCAACAAAATAATAATGACATTCTCATGCAATCCCACTGACTGGAGGCACAATTTTGACTGCAGTTGCATATGTTGTTTTTTGGTGACAGGACAAAACCACTGGGTTCTCTGACACATTTCATTTTTCAATACGTAGTAGTAGTAAAATTATAATGGTATTCTTCTGTGTATAGAGTCAACCCTATGCTTCAGACAGTACGGTGTGATCATTACTTCATTCATGCTGACTCTGCTTCACTACTTATCATGTCACTCATTTCAGCTGATAACTATAAAATCAGCCTTCATGATTAAAGCTGAACACCATTCACTCCCTGTGAAATACAGTAATTTCTATACATATCCACACAACCTTATATTTGCTACTTGCTTCCCCAACATAGCCCACCCCTGTTTTTGTCTTTCTCTTTGTTGTGGACTGTTTTTTACCCTAAAATAGTTTGGGGCGTTTATTGTATGAGCCACAGTGTGTAAGGGTGACTTGTTTGACTGGAGCATGTACAAATATTATACAATAATGAGACTAAATGAAAATAAGGTAATTGACATGATGTTTCCTGTCCACTTCTGAGTAAGCAAAACTGTGTTAAAACAAAAAGCATCCAGCCCAGTATCTGTGCAGTATCTAGTACAGATCCTTAGGGGGTGGAAAAAAAAAAAAAAATGAACAGAGAAAATATAGCCTTGGTGAGGGAGCAGTTGGAGTCTGCAGACAACGTGGAGCATTACTTCAGAGGGTGAACTATTCTTCTAGAGGCTTGGGACTGAAAGCTAAAGGTAACAACTGAAATGATTTTAGTGTTGTTCTTACAGCAGAAACTTCCCAGAGGCCCCAAACACTTTATATTCCTTCTCTTGCACCAGAAGCACCAATTCATTCCCACACAGGATTCAAATTGTGCAGCTGTTCCCTCAGTAACTTCCACAATGCACTTTGTTATTGCCAATACAGAAATTCATAACACATTGAAAAGCAGAAATAAAATACAAGATATTTAATGGCTGGATACTTCTATGAAGCCTTAAAGAAACCATACAGGAACGGTTCAGGGTTTGTATGGCAGACTGAAGTTTCCTGATGGCAAGAAGTCAAAATAAATTCTGTGACATCTTCCTCTTCACAGAGGGAGTAACCAGAGCTGATACAGGAAAGGAAAAGGCAGGCATAATATAAACACTGTTTGCAGACCTGGAAGCTCTGCTTATTGTGCTCTGCATTGCTCACAGTGGGAGAATGATGCTGCAAACTCACCTGGTCTCCTCCTCAGCTTCTGTGGCAGGAACAGTGTCATCACACCAAGTATGAAAATGTAAAATATGAAAGACATGCCATGTCAGTGTTTTCTTCTAATTGCTTAACTTTAGGATTTCACCTACCTGCTACCAAATTGCTAATTCACTGAGAAGTTTAGTTAACAGTATCAGCCCTATCTATTTGCTTGTGAAGTTCTTATGGTAAACCGTTTACTCATAAACATTCTTCAATTTCCTTTTCATTTACTTAAAGTGAGATTCTTCTTTCAAAATGAGCTCTGGATTGTCTTTAATTTACAACAATATAACACAGAGCAGAACTTCATTTTATGGAGGTAGGGAAAAATAATAATACTGCATTTCCATCTGCAAGTTACACTTAAAATTGCAACACATTAGGAATTTACTGTGGACATGATTTATTATGTTCCTTATTGAAGAGATCTTGCACAAGTTACCTGTTGTTGTGTTGTTGCCATTTATTTTCTACTTTTTACAGTGATTTCCAAAAAAGTTCCTTCTTTTTTCTTACTTTTTTTTAATTTTTGGAAAATAATTTTTTATAATTAAAAAATGAGCATCTTCTCACATTTGGTTTACAAAAAATAAATAGAAAACAGTATTTTGGCATGCAATCACAAATTAATCTCAAAACATTCTGTTGCATGTAAAATGTAGTTTGCCTTCATTTATTAGTTGAACATTGTTGTATTTATTGGAAATAAAAATTTTTAATCCAAAACCTTGATGTATTTGACAATTTTATGCTTATTGTCAACCTTTTTCTTTGTTCTTTAATGAATCCATGTATTGTTACATATTATTCTTCATCTTCCCACAAGGAATAAACCTGAAGCAATTATAATTTTATAACATTCTCTGTGCTAAGAATGTGTGGTGACACTTAATGAAGTCCAATATACCTATCTGATAACAAGTTGCTCTTTAAATATAGGACAAATAACTACAAGATGGCAATGTCAAAGTAAGGCACACTTACACAATGAAATTTTAATGAAAATACATTTACTTATGTCTCAATGACATCTAAATGGGAATCAGTTATCAGATCTTGAGTGTTTGCAACAAATTTCTGCTCTGTAAAAGAAAGAAAAAAAAGTCCCAATGACTTAAAAGTTAAATGAACTTTTAAAATGTCACCCAGCAGGGCATTCAAATACATAATTTACTATTTTGTTAGCTTCCTATAAGTGGATAATAATAAACTGCTAGCTCAATGCAAGCTCATAAATGCTGAATCAAAAATGTGAAGAACACCATGAAATGATAAATGTGAAGCTTTATGATACTAATTTTCTTCTAAGTAGAAAATGTAGCTGTAGTGTTAAAAATGTGAATGGAAATGTTGACATTCTGCTTATGCAGAGCAAGGTTTTAGTGGGGAATAATCTGTGGCTTTGTTAGTTTCTATTTTATTTTTATTCTACAGCAATGCAGTAGCAACACTGATAGCCTTCAATGAGCAATATATTTTCATAACCATCCAAGTTGAACTTGCTCTTAAGTACACTCATACTTATTTATTTAAACACATTAAAATTAGACTATTACATTGATGAGAAGACAAAATGAAGTCATTTCTCATAGAGAAGTTTTAATCTTAATCAAAAATTGACCTATGTGTTATATGTTAAAAAGGCATATATTATTGAATGGTATTAATAGAACTTTTAATGTTAAAATAATGTACACCAGACAGAATTAGAATCTATTTTAAGCTACTATGATAGGTTGAATGACGATAAAAACTTCACTTTTTTGGGTTCAATTTTAACAGCATACAGACTACGTTTCAAAGGCTCTGATCTGCTGATCAGTGTTCTTTATGCTACCCGACACTATGGTCTCCTCTTTATGGGACATGATCTCCCTTGCTGGGCATATTATGTTAAATCAGTAGGTGTGACTTGACCTCGGCAGACTAGTGAATGGAACAAAACTCGGTAAGTGTATCGGGTCATGATGACTGTTAAATCTTTCATTCAGATAAATTTGTCTGAGGCTATAAAATACCATTATGTGGTTCCCTGCGCTAGTGGATTCAGATTGCATGCTTGAGCTAAAACATAACTAATTCATTCACCTAGACTGGAGGGGCTGAGAACACCCCTGCCTGCTCTGATTGACTCCTTTGGAAGGAATTCTAGATTTATAAGGGAATGATTTACAGACTGATCTCTTCTGGACATGGTTTCAGTATCTGGCTTATTCTGACTGGAATCTGCAGTCTGAGCCACACTGTGGGACACCACCATACAGCATAAATTTAGCTAGAAGAGATTTTGGAATGATTTGTTCAAATGTGCATATTGCATCACAACGAGAAGAGGAAAAAAACGGCTAACAGGTTGTCAAGCATTTAGGTAAATTACATTTAAGTAGGATAAGTCCTAGAACCATAAAACTAATTTTTACTTTGGTATCACACCCTGTGACTTCAATCCAAGCTGCTTTTGTTTTACTCTGTTACAACTTGAATGAAATATTTTTTGTGGATGAAGATTAGGTCTTTTTTTTTTTCAGTTTCATATTTAAAAGATGAAGACTTAAAGTTTAGACATTTACTACTCTGTTAAAAAAGGACCTGTCTTAATTAAAGCACTGTTATAACAATGATTTAATTGGATTCCTTTTCCGTTCACATTAAATCCTTGTCATAAGTTACAGCTTTGTGGAATATTAATATGTGGTGTATATTTTTTATTCTTATTACATACTCTCATGATAGGTCTTATAGCAGAAAAACAGTTTCAGTGTTTTTTTTTTTTTTCATAGTTTAGGATAATATTCTTGGGAAAAAAAAATACAAAAATCCTTCAACACACAGGTCCTTTTTTGTTTGCTTCTTTCAAGTATCTAGTTACTGCTTAGGATGGATGTAATATTCACACAAACAAGCCATAAATTGTTTTACAGGTATTCTTTTGTAGTATCTTTTTAGATATGGTACAGCCTGAAGCTCCTGTTTAAGATAAGGGAAAGGTGAACATGAAATAAAATAAATTGATAGCCAGAAACTGAACTTGGAACTCTGGCTGATTTCATTGGCTAAGCTTGACATTCTGAATTTTAACAGTAACAGGTTGTTGTTGCAGTGGGTTGAGGGAGGTGATTGTTGCCCTGGTGAGGGGGGGGTGAGGGCACATGTGGAGCACCGTGCTGGTTCTGGACTCCCCAGTACAGGTGACATGGAGCTACAGAAAAGAGGCCAGTGAAGGGCCATTAAGGTGATTAAAGGACTGGAGCTCTCACATGGGACGAAAGGCTGAGAGAGCTGAGACTGGCCCAGAAAAGAGAAGGCTTGGGAGAGTGGGGGCCGAATCTTATCCACGTATACAAAGAGAGGGTGCAAAGAGCACAGGGCCAGGCTCTTTTATGTGGCTCTCAGTGAGATAACAAGAGGCAGTAGACACAAACTGAAACACAGGATCTTCCTTCTGACCATCAGGGAACACTTTTTCGCTGTGAGGATGCCTTAGCACTGGAACAGGCTGCCCAGAGAGGTTGTGGGAACTTGCTCCTTGGAGAAAGAAGCTGTCTGGATGTGATCCTGGGCAAACAGCTCTAGCTGGCCCAGGGTTGGGCCAGATGGCCTCCAAAGGTCCCTTCCAAAGTCAACCACTCTGTGTTGCTGTGACATCCACTGCCTACCTGCAACAGTGGGACATGAGGTCTATGGTGTTTGATGTAAAAGCCATGTGGAACTGAGGAGAGCAATCTGGCCAGAGCATATCCAAGATGAGTTGTATCTTTGGAACAGAGCTCCTTACCCTGAATACATCACGCAATGCTTTCTGAAGCCCTGATGCAAAGAATACTGAACCATTAGTGTATTTCAGTGTATTAACTGCATATTTTGCTTTGTGAAATAGTAAATCGTCAAATATAACTTTTTAATGTGGTATAAGTTTTCATAAGGAACCTAGATCTGCTTTTTTCCTGTTATTTATTTATAAGTGCAAAACAGAAGTATTTTTGTAGGCATCATTAAGCTGTTCATCCTGTTCCCCACCAAGATCCCCACAGTTTACCCACAGCTATGTTGATTCTTCTGAACCTTCTCAAACACTGTACACAGCCAGTCAATAGGGTGATGATGGCAATCAATAGAAAGTATAATGAAATAATAAAGTTGGCTGAGAGCAGTAGCGGTACACTTAGAATTTAACCTGCAAACTTCATTTACGTTTGACAGGCCCTTTCTGTATTAAAGCTTTCTCTAGTAAGTTTAGGGCTGGGTTCATATTCATTGCTTCAAAGAGGTAAGATATACAATCAATTTTGTTTTTCAGATAGTTAGATAACAGCATGTTTTCTTGGAAGTCTCTTAAAGCACTGAACATGAGTCTAGTTCATTTCTCGTTTTGTACTTGAAATAAAAAATTCCCTGAATTCAGTGAAGTGACACTTATGTAAAACATGCTAGGAAAATAATGTCACAAAACGAGCTACTACCAGGATTTGCATGCTGCAGTTTCATTTTTTTGAGCTCTAAAATCCAAAGATTTGAATCCCGTTAATGAATTATCAAGTCTAAGATGTTTTGAGTTACTGTCTACACAGCAATACATCTTAAACTAGATCGCATTTGTTTTCTGCTCTTGTATAATGTAAGTGAGCTCAATTAGTCTTTGCCAAATGACTGACTAAAAATAATTCTTACAGGTAGAAACATGACTAAATTTGAAATAAAATCTGCACCTGTTTGTAAGGCCCTAGAAAGCTCTGTAAAACACCATTTACATTAGATATGGTAATAACTCTTATATTAGTACTATTTAGGTATTTTCCTACCAATAATATTTCAATTTACTGCACATATTTTAATGTAATTTGTGAATTTAAAAGTATAGCATGGCCTCCACCCTACAAGATAAAGACCTGTTGTAGAGGTGTACAGAATATGACAACTATGTACAGTCTGCTTCAATCGAGGTAGCAATCAAGAAGTAATAGCTGTTGTTTTATAAAGAATAACACATTATGCAATGCATTTCATAATGTTTAAAATACTTTGTTCTGTTATTATTTTGTATCCTGCATTTTTATTCCCCTGGCTTTCTGCTATCAGTAACATAATTTTCTCATGAGCTTTGAGTACCTTAGTACAACATACGAAGTACTGCCCTTGAGCTGCAGATTGAATCTTAAAGCAAATGTAACCAACTGAATTGGCAGGAATGGTTTGAAAAAATAAAGGAAGAAAGGAAGGGAGGGAGGGAAGGGAGGAGAAAAAGGAAGGGAGGGAAGGAGCTAGTTTTGGTCAAGTTCTGCATACTAATATACTAGTATTCTCTCTAACCATGTGTAACTTACCTTAAGTGTTCCTTAACGCTTTACAGGGACAATCACCCAGCTTTGCTGAAGATAGGAAACAATTTGCAGATAACAATGGTGCATCTGAATCTCAGTATACAGGAACACTTCCCAACTTCTAGTTAAGGGATTAGAGGTGCTTCCCAGTTTTGTTTTGGGAGAGGACCCAAGTTTGAGCCAATTTTATAACTTTCACACACTGATTTTTTTTTTTTTTTATTTTTTTTTTTCAGTGAAACACAACCACATTGGCTGTAATGAAAGGAAAAGCTGGCTGCAACCCCAAACCTTCTTTGATGATTAAGAAACTTGTGCAAGAGAACATACCCACTTTCCTTGGGCCTCTCTAAATGCTGTTAAGGTGGGTGGAGGAGCAGGTGATTTCAGTTCTGTTCACAGCTATGTGGACCTCTGATGAGCTGTGAAGTGAGGGAGAAGTGTGTGAATGTTAGTAAATGTATTGTGTTTCCATGAATCATATAGTTGTGTGCGTGTTTTTTTTGTTTGTTTGTTTGTTTTGTGTGTGTTTTTTTTCTCACCTATGGATGAATCTATACCAAATTCCTCTGTAGCCTTAGATGCTAGTAATTATTGACTAGGATGCAATATAACTGAAGTTTTACTGCCTCAGTAGGGGGAACTCTTCCACTCTGATGCTTCCAGAGATGTTTCCAATCACCTCCCAAGGTACCTGTGCTAAGCACTAGAAGATAGATTGGGTGATTGGTTGCTTTCTCATGGGAAAAATGTTTTGAGTAGCTTCAGTGTTTTCATTCTTATGGTAGCTACAGTCAGCCTAATGCTGTTGGTGTTTAGGGTGTTTTTTGCATGTGTGGGTTGAAAGCAGGCTGTGTCAAATGTAACTCATTGTGTATGAAGGATTCATTTCAGCAGTCTATAATGCCTCAGCCTTTTCAGTGTGGGTGTATCTGTATACATGTGCAGAAATATATGTGCATATAGTAGGAATCATTTCTCTTAACACTGAAATGTAGCTAGCCCTTAGATGAGATGTGGCCACTGTTAAGTAGTGGACAGAAATATTAGATAACTGAAGAAAAAAAGAGGAGAACATGACAAGTTACGTGCAAGAGGTTTTAGTTGAGATATATATTAATGACCTGTATTGGCTTTGCCTGAAATACATGAGCTTCATATATTAGTACTGGCAGAAATGGCAGTGAATACTTAACACAAGTCAGAACTCTTACACTTCCATGTTTCATATTCAATATATCTTTCTAAGTGTGTTATTCATCGTACCAAAAGTGATATAAACAAATCCTGCTCTGCAGGCTGCTGTTTACTCTCCAAGAGGCATTTTAAGAGCAAACCTTCCTTCCTTGACATACCACAGTGACAAATTACAGCTAATACTTCTACATCCAGTAGGAAAAGAACATAGCAGTGGTAAGGATTTATATAGTAGAGAGCAATGTGGCATATGTAACAGGCTGGCATTTTTAGTGCCAGCCTTGATTTGAGACAGCTTTGGTAAAATGTAGCTTATCTTCTTTGTCCTTGACTATTTCAAGATTTTTTTGCTTGTTTGCTTTCTTTCTTATATAAAGCCAAGAAAGCTTTGAAGATGTATTTATAACAAATCATATAACGCTTCTATAGAATCTCAAAGAACACACTTGAATAAAGAAAATAAGGGGAAAAGGTGGAAACTATGAATAAAAATAAATGCAATAAATGTTATTTTATGAATACCCAAACATGTTTCTCTTAAACCTGTCAAAGATCTGTAAATTTAATATGTGACATCTCATTTGGCTCTGTGTTCAAGACTGCTTTTCAAAAACATGAAATTGTGTTAACTTTTTTTGTTGCCCATCCTCAGAATTGTTCTTCATCCCAGCGTAATAGATTTCTTTTTTTTTTTTTTTTTAAAAAAAAAAAAAAAAGCGGGTGTCAAAACAAATTCTAAGTCTTAAGATCTTTCTGGAAACTAAAAAGAATCTGGTTCTAATCAAGGGCAATTTTTCTCATCACTCTACTCACCTGATTCCATTAAAATCAGATGGACTATTTGTAGGAAGAGGGGAAAAAAAAATGTTCTTTAGTCCTCATAAGCAGTATTAAAATCTCACTAGACAAAATCAAGTTCGGCTCAGAGGTACTTCCTTGTTCCTCTGGCCTCCTCCAGCACCATTGGCTTCTAACTCTTCCTTCTAATTAAAACCATACTTGGAATCATATTTCACTGCATAAATCTGTATTGGAAGCAATTATAATGTGTCAGCACATTTTCAAACTTTACACTATTGTAGTCATAATGGTGTTAACTTTCTTATGCATTGGCAGAAAGTGTTGTACTAAACACCTTAATTTTCTTTACATAAATACAAACTTGCTTTCATACCTCTGAGGATTTTGATTCTAGTTAAAACATTAAGCTCCACTCCATTTCTATGTACAAAGTAATTTTAGGAATATTTTTCATTTGGCAACCAAAAATGGGATCAGAAAATATCCAAGCATCTTCATGAACAGAAAAAGTATATGCTAAATGTAGGACAACATTGTGAAGATAGCAAATACTGTAACCGAAAAGGATAACTGTTCCCATAATACAATTGCTTTCACATCTTTTGTTTCCATCTACCCTTTAATTAGAGACATCAATAAAACTTTTATATAGTAAAGAATTATCTAACTTTTAGCCTGTGCCAAGTAGTGAATTTATGACAATAGCTTCAAGAGTGTGAGTCTAGGGTAGTCCAGGGAAGGAGCAACACACATCTGGAAGGTTCTTCAACCATTGTCCTTTTTCAGTGTGGTTTATAGAGCTGAAGGCAGGTACTGGGTTGTGAATATAACAGCACAGCCATAAAGATGTCTAGTACTATGAGTTAGTTCCTCCATAGAACAAAACTATACAATTCTGGTTTTCTTCCCAGAGTAGCTAAAAGTACATTATTTTATCATGCATATTGCTAACAGAAGGACTGAGTATGAATGTAGTCTCATCCATAGCACATAAGAATCATATTTTGTTGACCAAAAATAAGAAAGAACAAAGACTTCTAATTCAGTACTTGTGTCTTAAACACGCATTATCATTAGCATATACTTGTTGTCCCTCAGAGATGCATAGAATAATGTCATCAGGCATTCTGTGTATTTGGAAAAAGCTAGGCTATAAAAAGTCTGATTCAGCTATGATATCTGAGATCTGTGTTAGTCCAAAGTCATGAGTTGTTAACCCTTCTCACACTTTTACTTATGAGATAATGAGGATTTTGTCGCCTTCTTTTGTCCTGATCAATCATAAGTTGCTTTTTCTTCCTTTGCTCTTACTCACTTAGAAAACAGAAGGAAATCATGTTATTCTCTAGTTTGTTTGAAATATGTGAGTAATGTGGCATCCTGTTTTTTAAACAATAAATATTTGTTTTCTCTTCTTAATACCAGCAGTTACAGTTGGCAGTGACTCAGGAACTCATTCAAAACCTCAGTGACTAAATGAAAAGTAGAATACTTTACTAGCTTCCATATGGTGGCAAGAGTAAGACAAGTACTTGTGCTATTTTCTGTTATTTTTTTTAGTATATTTTTAATTAAAAAAAAAAAAAAAAAAAGGATGGTATAAACCTGTCTTGTATCAGACTTAGTTTTTCTTCTGGTGTTAGGAAAGTCTGAGTTAGGTGTCCTCAAATGTAGCCAATACTGTAATTATGGAAAAACTTTTAAGGAGTCCACCTCTTTCCATTGATTATAAGTAATTAAGTTTGTTGGTTAGGAAATTTGAATCTTCATTGAAAATTTCTGGCTCTGTGACACTGGGTTAAAAAGGCCTTCTTTGCATTTCTTAGTATGAGCTGTTCTATCCTGGATATGACATTCTAAAATAGAAATCCTGATCTTTTAAGCTGTCATGCATTCTGCTGACAGGCATGCTAGTCTCAAAAGCTGCCTGACCCAAAACAACAAACAAAGGAAATCCGAACCCATATAAAATAGAAAGGAATAAATTTCATGTGAAGTTAATTCTATGAGAAGGGCTACTTTGGTTGCAGATACTGGAAAAGGTAATTAAATATGTTCCTGTGATTCTTAAGCAGATACAGCTCATTTTAGCAATAAACCTTTTTCATGTTTGACAGGCTTTGCAGAGATAAGAATGATGATGAGTTTTCCTGTTGAAAGGAATTACAATTAAGTAAATTCTCTTCTAACCTCACATTGCCCTAGAACTGTTACTGTTGTTGCTTTGACTTGAAACAGTTCTTTTCCTTTCTTTCTTCCACTTTTCATATAGGCAGAAAACCTTTTGAAAACTCTGGTGTTTTTCTTTTATTTTTTCCCATAGAAGCCATTTCTTTAATGATATGTTTGGAAAAGGAAAGTGCTTTTTTTTTTTTTTTTTTTGGTGCTTTACAGATAACCTGTTATTTGAATGTCTAACAGTCCTTTATGTCTAGAAAATGGTGGATTGGATTAGAAGGAAACTTTGCACCGTAAAAATGTTCTCTTAAGTTTTGTATAAACATTCCTTTCAAGGTTGAAAGCAAATAAACAAATATATAACATGGAGAACATGTCATCCTTACATGAGGAGCTGTCGGTGTTTTTGCCTTTTTTACTTTTTTAATCTTGTTAAAATTTGTGTAGGGAGTTGCCATGAGCATTATTCTCTTTTCCAAATTGTTTTTTAGAAAACTGCTAATTTGTATGTGAAATAAAACTAAACATCCTTACTAATTTTTTAGAAATTTTAGATTTTGCAAATTAGGCAATATTAACATGAATTCAGAAGAACTGTACAAGAACTGCTTTGTGGAATGATCTTTCTTTTAGAAAGTAACACTTTGCTAAATTGTAGATACTTTTTGGGAAGTATTATTTCTTGAAAACATTTCACATTACAACTTCTCTTTTTCCAATGGTGATATCTTGCTTTCATCCTATGAAAATGATGGCATACTATTTTGAAGTTATTTATAACTTCATTTAAATGTTGGTTTTGTAACCCTTATTTTTCTGTTTGTTTGAAAAACAAACTTTTTAATGAATTACCAGTTAGATTGTTGATTTCCTTTCTTTCCTTATACTAACACTGGTAGAGTTGTCTAATTAACAAAACAAACAAAAATCAATATGCTAGCCAGATTAGAATTTTGGTGATTTTTACCAGGATGAAAGAGGTCAGAACTTCACTTCCATTTTAACGAGCAGGGATTAACATCACAAAAGTGAATACTTGCATCACTTGTAAAACACACAACCTGTTTTACTGGCACGGTATTGATCTCACCGTGACTCCTTGCTGTCTTAGGTTTATAGTGTTCCTTGGGTTGTACAATTTTTCATGAACATCCAAGCATTATTAAAATAATGCTTGTGGATTGCACA